AAGAGTAAACATGAATTTTCCCACAAGTCCCAGAATTGACCAGTGGCAGAAGGAGCTGAACACAGGTATCTGCTCCGGGGTCTCTAGCTGTAACCTCGGGCCTCAGAGGAACCTCAAAGGCAGACACAGGACAGATAGAAAAGCCACAGGTGGCCAGGAGGGCAGAACTGTGGTCCTCTCATTGGGAGTCCATGCAGCAAAGGGACCATACAGTGAGGGAGAGACCTCTGTCCCCTGAGGCAAGTGAACAGAAGCAGCAGGAAGGCTGGGACTCCATGGCCTCTTAAACCTCATGGGGAAGCAGGCTGCCCTGTGATGTCCAAAGGCGTATGCACCGTATATGCTTTCCGCAGAACAGCCATGATGCCAAGTCAAAGTGTGCCCCTCTCTATCCGGCTATCGCCGACTGTAGAACAGCCCCCTCTTCCCCTGCAGAATCCACTGCGCTGCCATTTGTGGCACGAGGTGTGGGCACAGCCGTCAACAGCCATCCACACTGCAGCATCTCAAGGGCATCCCAAGAAGCAGTTAAAAAAGAAGGCAGGATTTCTTTTGCAATAGCTTGGGAAGACCTCTACAAAATAGTGAACGGAACAGGAAGTTTCAGAAAATAAATATGAGATGAATCTATTTAAGGGGGAAAGAGCAACAAAACAATCCAACCCTGTCTATTTCTGCCCTGTATCTCATCCCCAGCATAGCCATTGGCCGTGGTGGGAGAGGGGGAGAGGGAAATCTGTGGACAGGGGGATGATGGGAAGGGAGGGATGGTATGAAGGAAGACTGTTCACTTCTCTCCATCCAATCATTTGAATGTTAAAAATATTATATTTATCCACGAGTGATTTATTGAATCTGAAAGGAAGCCAGAGTACTTCACTGCCCAAACTCTGCCAGCGCAGTCCTGGCAACCCAGTCCCTGGTCTCTCCCTCGGGGCTTCTTACTGCCTTTCACCCACTGTCAAGGTCTGAGGTCACTCTCCTGATCCTTTTTATGCCACCTAAGCAAGCTATTCATAGGGTCACGGTCTGCAGCCCCATGAGGATTACAAGGCCATGGAGTCCCAGATTTCCTGCTGCTTCTACTTCCTTGCCTTTGCTGCACGGACTCCCAATGAGAGGACCGCAGTTCTGCCCTCCTGGCCACCTGTGGCTTTTCTATCTGTCCCGTGTCTGTCTTTGAGCTTCCTCCGAGGCCCGAGGTTACAGCTAGAGACCCCGGAGCAGATACCTGTGTTCAGCTCCTTCTGCCACTGGTCAATTCTGGGACTTGTGGGAAAACTCTTCATTCCTGTGCACTCCTGTGCACTCCGTTTTCCTGGCCTGTGACATGGAAAGTTCTGTTAAACAGTGTGTGTCCCACACGTTGATGGTGAAGAGGTAGTGGGTGTGTCCCTCTTGTGGTGTCCTTGTGATTTTGCTTGGCACACTGTGATCGCTGCTAAGCAGTGCTGCCGTAAAAATAAGTCAGGCCCGAGCAGTAGCTCTGGTTCCCAGCAGCTCTTCTTCCCTCCTCTAGCAAGACTTCCCTGGAGTCAGAAGCAAGCAAGACATCTTACCCAGAGATATATGTGCCTTTTCTTTTTCAGTACTGCGGATCAAACCCAGGGTCTGTGCAGACTACAGCTGCTCTCCCAGTTCTGCCCAGTAACTCAATATGCTCACTTTCTGTTTTACTCCTTAGTTTAAAAATAATGGTTTGAGACAGGGGCTGTGGCTCAGGGGTAGAATGCATGCTTAGCATATACAAACCCTGGGCTTGGTCCATGGCACCACAGAAGAACAATGGAAGGGAGAAAGGGAGGAGGGAGGGAAGGAAAGAGGGAAGGAGGGAGGAAAGAAAAGGAAGAGAAAGAAAATAGAATAAGTTGATTCAAAATTCTAGAAAATACTCACTCTAGGAGATCAGTCATGATTAGCTGAAAGAGTCTTTACCCCCTCACACACTCAGACATGTCTGTACATATCCCTGGGAGTCTGGATATCAACCTGAGAATCTAGGACTTCTACAGTCTCCCCAGCCCTCAATGAGGTCAAGGCCATGTCTTGGCTCTGGCATTAATAAACTAAAGGTCTGAAGTCTGGCTTCCATCTCTACATGTTTGTTTATTGTTTATTCTCAAGATAGAGAGGCTGTTTCCTGCTCCCCAAATGTAGGCAGGTAGAGAGAGAGAAATGGAGGGGGGGGGGCGTTTGCTGTGGGAATGCAGGGGAGAGTGTTCAGGCAGCATCGCCTATGGTTTGGGACAGAGAGCTCTCGTAGACCTGGCCACTCCTTTCCACTAGGTCAGACCCATGGTTTTGATCTAGCCACTCCTGTCCAGCAAGGCTTTCTCAGCAAGTGCCCTAAAGAAGAAGCCACATTTCCTGCTCCACGAGGTAGCCAGGGAGTTAGCAGCCCTGTCTAGGGTCCTCAGTTGCATGCTGCCCCACTGGGTTTTGCTATCCATGCTTCAGGACTGTGCTGAGCCCTCTAAGGACAAGCTCCAGCTCTTGCTAGCATTCTCAGCAGCCTTGCCACATGGGCTGATGCAGTTCACCAGTGTCCTTCCTGTTGTGGTCAGCTAGCCCAGAACTCAGCATAGAGGAGGTCGCCAGCAAGAGCCTTGATCACACTTCTAGCTTGTGCCTTTGCTCATGGGGCTGTGGTATCCTCTAGCCCCATGGCTGGCATTATGTACCAGTGTATTTAGTTCCACAAAGCTTAGTGGAGAGACATTGGGAACCCTGTGTTGGTGGGCATTCAGGGTGTTTGTGGGTTTGACTGCTATGAATAATACTGGAAGAATTACTGTGCATGGGTGGAATTGCTGGGTCACATAATAACGCCACAATCTACCTTTGAAGGAATTGCCAAGCTTCTCCACAGCAGCTGGGCCATTCCCTTATCTCCTCAGTGGGTCCTACTGTCTCCATATCCTTGCTGTTACCACCTTTCCCAGTGTCCATAACCCAGTGTTCAGGCAGTGTTGCCTGTGGTTTGGGTTGCATTTTGGTTAGTCACTGACAAGGGTGAGCGTGTTCCCAATGCCTACTGGCCATTCATACATCTTCTTTATTAAAATTTTACATTATGAGTGTTTTGCCTGGGTATATGTCTGTACACCAAGTGTGCACCCATGGAGGCCACAAAGTATTGGATCCTCTAGGACTGGAGTCTCAGATAGTTGTGAGCCACTGTGTGGGTGCTGGGAATTGACTGAGCCCAGGTCCTCTGGAAGAACAGCCAGTGCTTTTAACCCCTGAGCCATCTCTCCAAGTCCTCGTACATCTTCTTTAAGGAATTTCTGTTCAAATACTTTGCCCGCCTCTAATTGATTTATTTGCATCTTCTTTATATAATCTGGATACTAACCCTTATCAGATGTATGAGCTACAGGTTTTCTCATTCCATGTTGCCTTCTTCACTCCCTGCCCACCCGCCCGTGTGTGTGTGTGTGTGTGTGTGTGTGCGCGCGCGTGCGTGTGCGTGTGTGATGTGTACATGAAAATGCACCTGCCCATGCATACACCTGTGAACCCAGAGGTCAACATCAGCTGTCTATATTGCTCTGAACTTTCAGGATCTTCCCTATTCCATAAGCATAAATGACTTGCGTGTTTGTGGGATCCAGTTTATTTTCCCCTTGTGTTGTTCGTGCTATAGGTGTCACACCTGAAGAACCATTGCTAAGGTCATAAACATTTGCATCACTAACATAGTGTTAGTTCTCACAGTTAGGCCTTTGATCCAAAGGCCAGAGGAGGCCTTTGGGTGTCCTCCTCCACCACCCCACTTTATTCCCTTGAGACAGGGTGTCTTGTTGAACCTGGAGATCACGAGGGATTCTTGGCTGGACTGGTGTCCGGCCAGCCCCAGCGATCCTGCTGTCTCCACCCACCACCCAGGGCTGAAGGGACAGACACACACGGTCCTGCCTGACTATCTACACAGAGGCTGGGGATCTGCACTCAGACCTTGTGCCTACACAGCAAACACTTTATCCACTGAGCCATCTCCTCAGCCCCCTTCGAGCCCTTTGGAATCAGCATTTATGTCCCGGGAGGATCTAGATCCATCCTTTTGCTTGTGTCAACACATCGTTTCACCAAATTTTCTTAGTACCCTTTGTAAGGCGGTCTGGATGGATGTGCGGGTTCTATGTGGACCCTCTTCTGTCTCACATCAGCACCACAGTTAGTGACCATGGCTTTGGAGTCCTTTGAAGCCAGAGTTTGGCTCCTCTAGCATTGCTTTCACTGTTCCAAGGTCACTTGCGTTGATGTTGGATTTCCAGGCTGCTTTGTCCATTACTGGAGGGAAGAGACAAAAGAAGGAAAGCTGAAATTTGGATAAGGGTCCCATCGATGTCACAGGTCGGTTTGGTGGCATCACCTCACCAGCAGCAACAGATTTCTGGCCCGTGAACATGGGCTGTTGGTTTTACATTCATAGGTTTTCCTTAATGGCATTCAATGCCATCCTGTAGTTTTCAGTGTCTTCTTTCTGTCAACATGATCCTACATATGTTGTTCTTTTTGACATTACTATAAAGGGGCTGTTTGGGGTGCTCATTTCTACAGTGTAGAGATGCAGATGGCTTTTGATTACTACTCTTATTTTCTATAAGCTTGATGAACTGGTTAGCGCTACTGTGTGTGTGTACCTATGTGTATGTGCTTGTGTGTGTTCCAATATTATAACATCTTAATATGCACCCTCCTTTCTGGTTTAGCTGTCTTTCTTTTCTTGCTCAATTGTCTCGATCAGGTCCTCTAGAACAGTGCTGCTAAAAGCAGATATGGTGGCATTTTCCTCTTTGGGAAAAGCTTTTGATCTTTAGCCATGCAGTATAATGTCAACTTTATTTCCATCCCAGCTTCTCTACATGGCTTCCCTCTTAGAGTGCAGGTAACATCCCTACATAACACTCAGGGCTTCCATGTGGAGAGGTAATTTAGGTAAAGCACATGTGTAATTATTGGTATTTTGTTCTTTTTTTAAAAAAAAAAAAACAAAGAGCCAGCCCTTGGGCAACAAAGTGGAAATGGAGATCGTGAACATGTTGGAGAAAAACACAACGCTTCTGAAATTTGGCTACCACTTTACCCAGCAGGGGCCCCGGCTACGGGCATCCAACGCCATGATGAACAACAATGACCTTGGTGAGTCCACACCTGCCTTCTGCCTGCTTATTTGCCCATTCTTTCTCCCCCACATTTTGCAGGATATGTCAGGGAAAATCCTACATACACCCGACTCCAGGTTCATGGGATCTAACTCCTGATTTTCGGGAGGATCACATCTTGTTCTGTGTTTAGGCATGTCTTCCCCCAGTCTGTGAGCTGCCTGTCTTCCGGACCAAGGGCAAATGCCTTTCCTTCCTCAGCATGGCACAGCATAGGTTGAACCCAGAGCTCAAACCAGCATGTTGGCTAGAGGAAAGGAACTTTAAGCGTGCATGGGCTCATCCTGGGTCTGCTCCTCTTCTGAAGACCCTTCTCTAGGTCACACTGGTTTTTGTTCACAATCCCAAAGCTCTCAACCAACACCATTACCAAAAGTCATAGCCCAGGAGATGCCACGTGACTCCCAAGGCAAAGTCGGAAATGTATGGTTCATAGAAAAGTAAAGGCAGGGTCAGCAAGATGGCTCAATGAGTAAAGGTACTCATTGAACAAGCTCTGACAAACTGAGTTCAGTCCCTAGAACCCATAACGTAGTCCTCTGATCTCCACATGCATGCATGCACATGCACACACACACACCACTAAGAATAAATAAAAATACAATGTAAAAGCAAGTTACATTCCCTCCATCTCTGCTGAATTATCATTTCCCTCATTTCTCTAAATAGAGAAAACATCACAGTCTCTTGGTGACAGGCTGCACCAAATACCTGTGCAGTCGACAGAATGAATAACATCAACCATCCACTGGCTCCCATGAGCCGATTGTTCACGCATCCTGGGTGTGGTTGCTTATTACATGTTCCCGATGATGCTCAGGAGAACAGGATCTGGTGTGAAATGAAGGCAGCGTGACTGGCAAGGTTCCAGGAGTGGGGGGGGGGGGAGGAAGTCATGCAGCAGGTCTCTATTGTTACCTTGATTGAGGGGGACATTTACCCTGAGTATCATAAAACCACAACAGACTAAATTACACTCCGTCTATTGAAGGAGAGAAGGCAATGTGATAAGTTAAAAGGAAGCTGATCTCTGCAGCAAATGAAGCCAAATAGGTTTTAAAGACGGTCTTTGGTGAGGTTTTCATCAAATCCTCACCATCAGGGCTCCCTAGCTCCCAACCTTCTGCAGAAAGAAAAGAGCCTAAAACCCTGAAGCAGGGGTTTGGGTGATGATCCAAGGCTGTCAGATCCCCCATTGAGTTGAGTGAGCACCAGAAAGGCAGGCACTCACAGACCCCGCCCAGAACTCAGACTTATGCGAACTTCCAATCAAACTCTTCAACCACAGGCACCATCTGTCAAAGTTCTGAGACTCGGACAATGAAGGCACAGGCCCCTGCTCTTTAGCATAGCACAGCCCCAGGGCTGTTTGTCCCTTGCTCACTTCACAGGCCACTTTCTCTAGAGCCTCGAGTCTAGAAAAATATACTTCTGTCTTGGTTTATCTGAGGTGCCATTATTTGAAAGAAAGTAAGATCAAAACATAAATGAGATGCAAAGTTCTTACCACAGCACAGAAGTGATGGTTACACCAAATCATTGGATGGGACCAGCTCTCAGAGTATTGGAGGCCCAGCTGTGACCTGGTTATGAACCAGTACTTAAAAACCCCAAGTATTGGGGGCCCGAGAGATGACTCAGAGGTTAAGAGTTCTGAGTTCAATTCCCAGCAACCACATGGTGGCTCACAGCCATCTATAAAGAGACCTGATGCCCTCTTCTGGTGGGCAGGCATACATGCAGACAGAACACTGTATACATAATAAGTAAATAAATCTTTAAAAATTAAGATAAAGAAAAATCCTAAGTATTATTCTGAAAAACAATAGCTTCACATTTTCCCTAGTTATGGATGAAGCGTCTGGCAGGATCCTCACGCCCACCATCTCAGAGCTACTGTCTCAGGTTCCCAGAAACCGCAGGCAGAAGCCCCTTCTCAGGCAGGAAAGAGTCCAGGCCACAGGCCCGACTCCCATCACAAGAACTCCTGAAGGCTACTGGAGGAGTTTCAAAGTGAGAGCTGACAGGATTTCAAGAGTATCCTCCACTTTCCTACTTGGGTTGGTTGGGGACCACGGCCCTTGTTAGTAACTTTTCTGAGAAACTTTGGTGTGACCAGGCTGTGTTGGGATAACCAAAAGACTCATTCCTGGATGTAAGAAACCTTGCCACCTTTTTTGGGGAGCGGGGAGGGGGGGAGACTCAACAACCGTTGAGTCTTAAAAACTTAAAAACTCCAGGATTCCTGCAAGCTCTGTCCAGTCAGCACGAGGAAGTGATTTATGAGAGCAGAAGCCAGTTAACAAAGTGTCCTGGTGGGAGGGTCTTTGGCCAGCATTGAAAGGAAGAGATAGGCTGACAGAGAAGGTCAAGGAGTAACCCTGTGGGAGCTCTAGGAAGGTCTGGGGTACAAGTCTTAATAGGGATCCTGGCCTATAGTATAGTTGTATTCATTGGTTTCAATGTCAACTTCACACAAGCTAAAATAAATTGTTTGGCATGAGGGAATGTCAATCAACAATTGCCTCCATCAGATTGGCTTCCAGGTAAGCCTGTGGAACATTTTCTTTATAAATGATTTATGCAAGAGGAACTTTCACCTAGGCCATGGTAGGCCACAGCACTCCTGGGCAGGTGGTCCTGGGTTGTATAGGAACAGTAGCTAAGCAAGCCAGGGAGAGCAAGCCAGTAAGCAGAGTTCCTCTCTGGTCTCTGCTTCAGTTCCTGCCTCTAGGCTCCTGCCCTGGCTTCCCTCAGTGATGGACTGTGATTGGGACTTGGGATATGTACGCCAAATAAGCTTCAGTGAAGGCAGGTGGGGAGTAGCAAGGGTCACCCACTTCTACCACATCAGCAGACCCCTTGATTTTAATCTACCACTCTATAGCCTTCCTTGACCCTGTGTTTTCTTGCAGTGAATCTGGCTTGCTTCTTAGTCATCTGCCAATATCATGTTTTCTCTTATTACATCCAAAGGGCCTTTGTCCCTGCCAGCCTTAGACATAAGCTTCTATCTTCTGTTTGCAACTTCCTGGCCCATACTTTCTTCTCTATAGGTTTAACTGTCATGTGAACAGTATTTGAAGCACAAATTGCCTTGCTCCTAGGGCGATGTCACTATTAAAACATGAGGGGGTATGACAACTTGAGGCACTTTTCAGTTACTGGCATTGGCAGGAGGCAGACCAGACATTCCCAGAAGGAGCAAGGGGAAACATTTCAGCAGGCTGACACCCAGTCCTGAGACTGGCTAAAGTTAACCCTGCTCAGAACCAGTCTTCAACTGTGGAGCCCCTGTAGGCAAAAGCAAACTGCGTGGTGTGTGTGTGTGTGTGTGTGTGAGTATGTGCATGTGCATGCCAAGGACTGTGTGGTCAGCCATTTAGAAGAGATATCCACCCTACCATAGATTCCCATTAGTAACCAGGGACAAACATCCAGCCTCCTTGTAACCATCCTTGGCAAGCAGGCTCTGACCTTGTGGATCAGTGCTGCTCGGGACTCGCAAGGACAGCTGGCTCACATCTCTTCCCTGTTCCTTTGCAGTGAGGAAGAGGAGGCTCGCAGACCTGACGGGACCCATTATTCCCAAGTGCCGTAGTGGTGTCTAGTGTGCAAAGGGAAGCCCACGCCTGTGAACTGGACATGTTCTACCGATAATCCATGTTCCCCAGTGGAGACCAGGAGGCAAACGCTGGCGTGGAACTCTTGTGGTTAAGTTCTTTGTGCACTAAGGTTTAGGTTAACTAGTGACTGTAGTTGGACCTTTTATAAAATATGGTCAATGTGAAGTTTTCTTTAGTCACAGAAGTTCAGTCTGGTTATTATTTAAAATGAAGAAGCCCTCAAACTGGCAGGTCTTGCTGCAGATAGCACGACAGTGGCAGTGGCAGCCCAGAAGTTCCCTGGGTGGCCATGCTTTGGTGTTTAGGTGCATTTACAACATGGAACACATCAACACAGATCACTCCTCCCAACTAGTCTGGAAGTGCTGTAAAATACTTTATTACAGGTTTGGTCACAGCAGCTCAGTAAAAAGAACAGATAATCATGATTTTTCAACCCCACTTGAAACTTTAACCTCAAGATTAAAGCTGCCAAATTGATTCCAGGATCAAATTCCTTTACCCCCAAGAATGAAAGACAAGCTACAGAATCTTCTAAGAGTGAGAAAGATACAGGATTCCTTCTGCCAGGTAAGAGAATGGGGAGAAAAAGGCAACGGTGAAATTTCAAGTTTTAAAATCTACCAGCCCAGGTGACAGACATATTCCTGAGTGCTCTGTCTGAACACCTGGCATATACTCACTGCAGTCAGAAATCACTCTGTCTTTATTGAATGCCAACTTCACGATGGATGAAAACCTTTAGCCACAGGAAAACATCTTCCTATACCTCAGTGGGCAAATGGCTTACGTGAGGCCAACGCCACTGGGAGAATTTCCAGTCCACTGTGGCTACGGCACTTAGCATAGCCCTGCTTACAGACACCAAGTGCCTGCCTGGTCACTTATGAGACAAATCAAATCACAGAGCTCTTGCCTACAAATGAAGTCTCTGAAGGACAGCAGTGTACAACATCCAAACGGCAAGGAATTAGGAGCTCCTGGCCAAACAACACAAGTGATTACTCTGAACCCTAATTTCGGCGTTCCTACTGGATCCCTTTTTTAACACCACAGGAGTCAGTAAAAATGCTAAAACACATTGTTCTTGTGCCTTTTAATAGACCACAGTGCCAGTTAAACTAGTATTTTTGTTTGTTGCTTTGGGGAATGATTTTCCTTAGGGATCCAGCCAATATTACAATAATGACAAGGCTCAAAAGCTTTTGAGCACAGCCCAGGGGGCTTCTGAGAAGGGAAAGTCCTGCACACTGAACTGTAATGCTATGGACAGTACAGGGTAACTAGAGGTGACGCCAGGGCCTCACCACTAACAGTGTCTAGTGAGGCTGCACATGGGCCCAGGAGTGGCACCGAGCTGCAGGGACGGCCAGCCCCACTCAGCTTCTCCTTGAGACACAACTGCAGCTGCATTCTGCATCACTGGAAACTGCAACATAATATTAAAGCCATTGGTCTATGTGTGGCTGTGTGTGCTTCTTAAAACTCGTATGATGGGGACATGAGCCCAAAGGTTAGAAGGCTAGATAGCTGCTATGCTGGATGACCTCACTAAGAAGCATCTTGTGTCCCAGATGTCTGAAAGCCTGCTGCTCATCCGGATCCCCAAAGAGAACATTTAGAAGCTAAGAGGGGATGCTGGGTAATGCAGGGCTGTTAGGGGGACATCTTTCAAAGAAACCAAATCAATAAAAATGTAGGCCACTTCTTTAAGACTACCTCTGTCAGATGAGCAGTCAGTGTGAACTGGGAGCTGGCATTTTCTGTGAAGGGACAGAGTGCAAATACTTTAGACTCTGAAGGCCTCATGGTCTCTGGCCAACTACTCAGTAGTACCATGATCATATGTAAAGGAATGGGTCAGGTTGATTCAGTAAAGTCTTCAAAGCAGGAAGTGGCCAGTGCTACAGATTACAGACTTCGGGCAGTTAGCGAAGAGACTGACACAGGGGAAGGTTGCAGCTGACCTGGTTTAAGAGTCCACACCCAGGGCTCAGCTTCTGTGCTTTTGCTGCCAAGGTAAAAAGGTTTGCTGACAAGAGCAATGTCTACTACCCAACTGCATGGCAGAGAAGGCATGGTGCAGTCGAGCTCAAGGCTCTTCCCCTCAATGTCCTTGGGATCCCACACGGTTCATCCCTTTTCCAGGCTCTAGCATACTCTGAATCAAAACAAGTGGATTAGGTAGCTAACACTGGACTCCCTGTCCCTTTGCTTGTGGCCATCAGCTATGGTGGCAGTGACCAACATGAACTTTCCCAATTTGTTTCTACAACCTTGACAATCTACACATGGACACTTAAGCCTACTTTGTGAAGCTTAGGAAATGCTGAAGATGCCACACAGCTTCACCAGCATCAGGCCCTGGCTCCAGGCTCACAGGGAGTCATGCAGGCTGCTCCTGTGGGATGCGTGGTCTCCGGGCTGTACACTCACATTCTTCTTTAAAACTGTCCTGGGCAGGGCCCGACGCCTGTTTGCCCCCTTTGTCTTGACACGTGATGCAACAGGCTGTGAATCCTTGTCCTTGACAGGCAGAACAGGTTAAAACAAGCTGGCGGCATTGGGGAGTAGAACAGAGTTTATATTGGTCCCACGGGGCTCCACAGTATGAACATTCTAGGGAAGAAAGAGTCTTATTATTCTTTCCCCACTCCACTGCCTCTCCACACCCCCTCTGTCTCTGTCTCTCACACACAGAGGTACTTATCCAGTTCCCAAATGCAACCCTAAGTTCACTACTCTTTTGGCCCAAGGGAATGTTTCCAAGTCAAGCAGGGTGGCAGCAACTATCACCTCAGAACTGGGAGGCTGAGACAGGAAGATTGCAAGTTCAAGGCTGGCCTGGGCTACATGCACAATGAGACCCTGTCTCAGAATAGAAACAAACAAATCAAAAGGAAATAGCACTCCTATCTTCTAGGAAAGAGAAAAGCCTCTGCTGGGGGAGGGGTTGGTGTGGAGAGGCTTCTGGAAACTGTTCTGACTCGCCTTCACCCACCCATTGCTCTTTATCCTATCCAGAAAACAGGCTCATCTCTTTCTCATGAGCCCACGTCACACAGGCTCTCCCCGATATAACCTCCCTGCCCAGGGGGACCGCACACCTGAATTCAGATGACCCCACAACTCATCCACCTTGTAGAATGCACAGCTCTCCACCCCAGGCCACCAGACTCCTCAACTGCACCTTATCTTCCTTTTCAGCCTGTGACTCCTAGCCAGCTTGTCTTCCAAAATACCACAGTTCCCCTTGCTTGGCTATGCTATCTTTGGGCTTTTTCTTACATTCAAAGTCACATGCAGATATTCAAGTCCTGCAGGTATTTCTTCTATAAAATCCCTCATCTGTTTTCTTATTTATTTATTTATTTATTTATTTATTTGAGGTTTTAAATAAGACAAATACTAGACCACCATAATGAGTAAAGAGACCAGAAAGGTAGACAGGCAAGATGGCTCAGTGGATAAAACAATTGCTACCAAGAATGATAGCCTGAGTTCCATCCCCATGATCTACATGGTGGAAGGAGAGAACCAATTCCCGTAAGTTGTCCTCTGACCTCCACATGTGTACTGTAGAATGTACATGAGCACAGAAGTAAATGTAATTTTTTTTTTTTTTACAAAGACCAGAAAGGAAGGAGAGAAGACGAACTTAAATCTTACTATCTAAGAAGCCTGTGTTCACAAGTGTTCTAGAAACTGTAGCAGCCATGAAGGTTGTCTTCCTAGGACTTTTCATCCAGATACGACTGAACTGCAGTATTCAGGGCAACCCGCCTTCCGGAGGACTGCCTCTCCTTCTGCTCCCTTCCGTGTGGGCCCAGCACCGCAGGAAAACTATAACCAGTGCAGCAGCCACCGCATGGCCTGCTCCCGCTCTTCCATTCTCACCTTCCCTCAAATGCACACTTGGGGACACGAGGGTGTCTGACTGCAGCATCTGTCACCCCACTGATTGCCAGGGTTGATTTGGCTGATCTGGCTGCCTAAACAGATGTCCCTGTCCTCCCTCATGGCTTCATGTGTCCCTGCTCATGCTGCAGCTCAGCTGATGAGGATGACTTTCCCCATAGGAAAAGAGGACAAGTCTCTGGCCAAGGGTGTGCATCAACTGCTGTGCTCTCCTGTGAGGGCTTCCAAACAAGCCCTCAAGTGTGCACTTGTTTCCACGGCCATCTAGTTCTTACTCTTCTGCCCTGGGTTTACTTGGCAGCCTGGTAATGACTATGGACCTTGACTATGAGAAATAATTTTAAATGAATAAAATCAAACGCACAGTATTACAAAGGAAATCAATTGTATAGAAATAAGAAATAGCAAAATAGTTTTCAGACTGTGTGATACAGCAAGAGCTGAGTTACCTATAACATTAGATAGTTAGTGGGAGGCCTGAGTATGTCCAGTGAGAGACTGCTGTGAGTATGATGCCGTGCTGAGTTCTCTACGGCAGCAGCAGCAGCGGATGCGGCAGTAATGCTAATTCTATGGTGACAAAGACCTAGGGCGTCTGGCACAACCTGTCCACTGCCTGCATTTTAAAGGACTTGCCTACTCAGTATACGGCATGGCCAGGACCATCTGATGCCTGTGTAATTCCTGCATCTCCAGCTGCAAAGCGGTGGCACAGTGACCTCCACTTTCTCCATGTCATGTTCAGGTAGCAGTCCTGGCAGCCTTCCCCGAGCAGCAGGTGTAGAGTGGTGAATGATTCTGACCTGACACAATGTAGGCTCTGGACCTGGGCTGACTTACCTGATACCACAGAACTGTTGTAGGCCAGGGCAAACCGCTCATCAAAAACAAACAGCTTCCCTTTGTAAAACCCATCAGGAAACTCTTCCAGGTATTTGTGGATGCCACCCTTGAGCTGAAACACTTCCTTACACACTCCCTGGATATAGACAAAAAAAAATATCAAGATGTTGAAAGAAACAAAGAGATTTCGAAGCAGCTCCATGGTGGTGAGTGGGCAGTGCAGCCACACTCCCTGTGCCCATCAGTCAGGGGCTCCCCGTGGCCTCCTGAGAGTGTGGAAAATGCTGACCAAAGGGTCAAAGAACCACCTGGCCAGACCTTGCCTTCTGGGGAGATGGGTGATGACAGCAGTTGGGCCCTTCACCTTCTAAGATCCTGGGAAGCCTAACTATTTTTGCTACCCCTAAATATAGGAGGGCATCTGTTGGGACATGTAATGTTACTGAATTTGCTCTTCTTGGGATCAGGCACATGGATTAAGAAAGGGGAGCCACTCAGCTAAGCTTGCTCTTTTGTACTTAATGAGTCTTCAAGACCACTAAGTGCTGGAGACTTAAGAAGCTCGGGTTTAGACTTACAAACCCCATGCTGGAGCGGTGCCAGGAAAGTAAATCCTTCAGCCGGCTAGGGAGGAGGGGCTGAGCAGGAGGTGAAGGGGTGGGAGTGAGGGTGGGAGGTTCCACACAGGCTGGTGATGGTGGGGCTGGCTCACCCATGTGCTGGGCCTGCAGAGGCTCACCTTGGCTCTGAGGTATGCAGAACCCCGCTCGCAGCGGATGCCTCCAGTGCAGTACATCAGCACTCTCTTCTGCCTGAAAATGTCAAGGTTTTTGTCAACGTAGCTAGGGAAGTAACTGAATTTCCTGATGTCTGGTGCTAAGCAGCCCTGGAATCGTCCCTACAACATAGGGACAGAAGGAAATGATTAGAAAAATGTACCTGCTGGGAACTCAGTTCTTTCTATATAACAACCCCCATCTTTGCAACAGCAACAAGCATTTGCTACCCAAGGTTTGCATCCCACACTCTTACCCTTTAACCTCAAGATCCAGAACTAGACACAGGACTGGGGTTGTGGGCTCCCTTCTTACAGATCCCTTGGGGGAATAGTCTAGGTTACAGTGGCAGCTTTTACAAGGTCAGTAGCACATGCCAACGGAAGGTTCATGGTAAACAAAATCACTTTATATGCCAAGATTTCTTTAACTTGTATTGTCTTGGACTTTCTCAACAGACTTGGAGTTTAGGACTTACGTTCTCCCTGATGCTGCTGGTACAGGAAGAAGACTGATGTGGCTAAAGGTTCCACACGGGACATACATTGTGCTGTGCAAGGCACACCCACCCTTTCATGCCACTCAGTTCTGGCTCTTACTTACTATTTTGCTTTCATAGAAGTTTCTGCAGTCCAGTAGGATAGTATCACCCTGTTCCTGATTTGCCTGCGATAAAAACTTTTCTATTTCTTTATGAAATTCACCAGGGGATAAATGGATTCCTAAAATCAAGCCAAACAATTACATTAAAACAACAAGGAAATCTAATCACAATTGTCCTGACCTGACTGAAGCGCTGACTCAGCTTCTTCCCACCTAACCCTCCTTTCCTCAGTTACCATGGAAACAAATGACACTATCTGACCATCAGGATAAAAGGTCCGAGGCCCAGGCATCGCCATCTCCTTGCTCTAACCTGAGACT